AAATCTAGCCTAGGACATACACACAAAGATACAGCACATACAAGGCCAAACAGATCACAAAGTCAACACTGGGTTTTGCACAAATAAGCTACAAACTCTAGTTAGCAGCCACACCTCAAATATGGCAGTCTTCCTCCTACTTCCTACCTGGGTTGCCACTCTCAGTCCTTACCCCCAGGATATAACAATCATCGCTCCTAGTCCCACATACACTAACAGTTTTGAAATTATTCTCAGTCTTGCAGCTCCAGGCACCACTTCCACGAGCAGCAACCTTCTATTTATCTCCAGGGGATGAGTAAAGACAGAACCACAGAATTGTAGAGTCATCTAGTGCATCACCTACAATGTAGAAATCTCAACTACATGACAGATGGTCACCAAACCTCTGCTTGAAAACCTCCAAGAAAGGAGAGTCCTCCACCTTTCGTAAAGTCTGTTCCAGGTGGATGCCAACCTCTCCTCCAAGTATCCCTTACCTGCAATTAATGTTCAAACTGGTAACAGCAGGTCTCACCACCAGTGATGGCTGGTGCCCATTGGGGCTGGGAGGATGGAAAGCAGGGAGGAAAGCCAACAGTAGGTAGAATCAAAGCCAATGCTAGGCAGCACCTATGAATTCTCATTTTGTCTCCATCCTCTGCCCTGCCAAGTTCTACAAGGGCAACACTGGGAGTGAAGGAGGTGACAAGGCAGGACCACCTCTGCACTGCTTGTAAGAAAAATAAGTCAGGTGGGGAAAGAAGCAGAAAAATGGAAGCCTCTTTCAAAGTTGGAAGAAAACTTGAGAAATTGGAGAACAGATTTCAGCACAGCACTATTTAATGGGCTCTAGCTAGCCTCTGAGTACTTCCTTTCAATATGTGACTTTTCCTTATTCTCCAAATAAAATTGGTTGTAATGCATACAAGTAATCTGGGGTCTTATGTAGAGCACACAGCATATGTTATCACTATTCACTACATTAACCTAAGGAACAGATCAGCAGGTATCACAGCTCTTTATGAGCTGTTGATCAAGTGCCTTTAAGCCCTTTACACAGTGGTCAACCAAGAAACCCACTAGCTTCACAACAAAATCAGGCCAATATTGGAATGAAATCTCCCAATTACCAAGAGAGATACTAGTTTTTCATAGAAGTTGCTTAGATAAATTAGAGGATGCATCTAATTAAAATGAGAGAGAGAGATCTGTTGTGGGGGGGATGTGAATGCCTTCAATATTTCCAAAGATTAGTAGAGTCCATGTAGGAATTTTGCAAGTTATGAAATGGAAGCCACATTCAAGGTACTGGGAGCCATTCAGTTCATTGATTTCAATAGGAAAGATTTGATCAAATGCCTAATGTGGCATTTACGTGGCAGCTTATTCAATTTTCATGGTGTTCCCTATCTGTTAATCTCCGCTTTATATTTGAGCTTTCACTCTATGTAAAAGCCACTTTCTGAACTGTAGTGGGACTATAGTAGAATACATCACAAGTTTATCACTTATTTCCATATTATTTGCAAACAGAATTCTGGAAACAAATAACATGGAAACTTGCACCATATTTCTGGAAGTAGTATGAAAGTTTGAATATAATATAATATGGAACTTAATGGTTAGGAAAAAGTCATGAAAATGGAATAAAATATTTATGTATATATATAGTTTTATTTCTACTAATGTTTCATTGTTTTTTAATTATTGTTTTTCCTATGTTCTTAGCAATTCTTGTTTCTATCTGTAAGCCGCCTTGAGTCCCATCAGCGAAAAATGTGAGGTATAAATACACGCATACAGCTTTGTGATGGTAGCCTAATGCTATATTCAGATAGCACTTTATACTGTTTTCTCAACGTTTCCTTACCTGCTAATTTCTGTGTTTTATGAGCTCCTTCATACAACGTAAAAGGTACTTCTAGAAATCTATTACAAGTTTAGCACTCATTTCTGTGTTAATTGCTTCCAGAAAAAAACAACAGAGGTAGAAATGAAGCCACCAACACTCACATAAACATGCTTCCTCTCCAGAACTTGGCTGGTGCTAGCAGTGGTTTTTTCCAAATGGATGGAAGAGGAACAACACCCAACTGCTGTTGTTACTCATCCAGCTAGTGCTACATATAAAGAAGCCTAATTCTGTGCATTAACAGACCTTGGCCATTGGGGGCTGGTGCCCATTGGGAATTCATAGGGCAAAAGGTCAGGAACTCAGCAATCAGCAAAGGCAGAACCAATGGCTAGCTGAGGCAACTAATTCTACCTTTGTTCACCTCCTCCTCCTTTTCCCTGCTCTGTTCTTCAAGAGACTAAGAAAGTGGGAGTTGATAGGCAGTGCCACCCCCAGGTAAGAACAGGCTGAGGTTGGTGGGGCAACACTACATTTCCCCTAGCAGACTACCCTTAACTGGCCTTGGTTGAATCAGAGCAGCAATGTGTTCTTTCTGGTTGTAGAACTGGAAATGGAGTATTGATGCTGACCTCCAGACCCATTTACAAACTGTAGGTAAACCTACAGTTATACTGCTTTCCCTAAAACATATTTTCCCTGACATGGTTATTCATGGTATATATAGGATATATACTGTACCATTTCAGATTAAAATAAACACATCTGATTCATAAAGAGTTTTGTTCCTGGAACACAGAATCAGTTGATTATTGATTATCTTGCTAAGTCCACACATCCTGTGACTTAAAGTAGGGAACAGCATCACTCTCTCTCTCTCTCTCTCTCTGTGTGTGTGTGTGTGTGTGTGTGTGTGTGAATGCACTCAGTTGTGCATCTAGTAAACCAGCAAATTTGTTTTGTTTCACATATTTCCTGCATGTGAAGCCATTTCCAGCTATAATGCAACTGTGTACCATGGCACACCAAAAGCCATCCTATCCGCCTGAAATAAGTATATTCCTTTAAATAATATGGCAACTAATTATGTGACCAAAAATACCTCTGGAAAGTATTAATACTGGAAACCAATTCATAAACCAAATGTGTGGTTCCCCCTCCCCCTCAAAAGGCAAGCCTGTGAATGATTTCCTGGTTGGCTAAGATTTTCTAGAAATTGGATTTTCCCTCCTCTATGAATATTTTAAAGAAGTCACTTATAGACGCCTTTTAATGCAAGAACAGGTGTGAGCTCAAATTCCCTCAGCTACTAATATCAGCTCAGCTGAGAGAACAGCAGTAAATTCTTATTTGAAAGCTAAACTAAGTTCATCTTGATAAGGGCTGGGAGCTCATTAACCATTAAAATGCCATATAAACGCTATTCGGAAAGCTATTTCTTTGTCTGGTTGGATTTTATGTGAATTTGGAATGCAGAAAAATAAACATGAAGAAGCACATGAAAATAAAGCGTCTGTTCTGTGCACCAAAGGAGTCTCTGCTTAGAGCTGAAGAAAGCCAGAACAGTTTTGCGATCAGCACCCTACCGTTTCGTTCAACAGGATCAGGAAACAAAAGACTGGTGTTTACAATTTTGCTTACAGTGCCTTGGTTTGAATTAGCAACCCTTGCTCAACCATCCTAAACCAAATGTATTTATTTACGGTGTTGGGTGGGTGGCTCCCAGTTCTACCTAAAGTCAGTCCAAAAGTGTGTCACCAAAACCTATTATTTTACATATTCACTTTTTCAGCTTAAGGTAATAAGTATAAGAAAATAGTCACTCATATTTGTTAAAAATTTACCTGTTTTTAAAGCCTATTTTTGTTCTTGCACCATGTCTCACTCTTTTCTCCTCTCCTTTCCTTTTCCTATCCCTAAGAATTTTCATGGAAGACAGCTATCAATCAACTATCTGAAAATCAAAACTTGTTCAAACATAGCCCCAAAGCAAGGATTTAAATTCAGTGATTTGGGAGTTCATAGGAGTTCCCTTCCACCCACGGGGATCAAGTTCGTCTGAAGGGAGATGAAAGACGTTTCACACACATTACTCTGCACTTTTCTTTTAAGGAATGTGGCTGAAGCTAAAAATAACTAATTAAAAATGTTCAGGCTTGTTCTAAAACAAAACACATTGGAATGTAAACTTCCCTGAAAACTATGTGGCACTAAATAACATTAGTCCTTTGTTACGCAGGCATTAATTCTCAGTGCCTACACTATTACCTTTAAAAAGCTGCTAATTTTCATTTCTCCAGGTGAACAGAATGAAGTATTTCAGAAAACAAGTTTCCATGTGTGTTTGTGTGTCTGTGTGTTTGTGTGTGTGCGTGAACATATATCTGATACGCAACACAGGGAAACGGACGCAGGATAGTAACAGTAATATTTTACAATGTCTTTTTTTATTAAAAAATGCTCAGTGACTTGATACACAAACAGCCTCTGACTTACAATTGCCCTAGCTTGAAAGGAGAGATAAAGAGTTAACCCACTGGAAAAAATAAGGTTGTTTTGTTTTGTTTTGTTTTTTAAGGTGCAGAAAAAAGAGTAGAACCACCTTAAACTGAAATGCAGCCTCCTATTTTGGTCAGGATTGGAATGCTACAAATTCAGCCTGTTGTTTGTGTGTGTGAGAGAGAAATTGGGTCAGTCATTTGTCAGAGCAGACCTTGTGAGGCTATCTGGAGTGGGATGGGTTATTTGGGAATGTGTGTGCTACTGCCAAAAAAGTCCCCTCTATTTCTAGTAATCTTTCTTCAAATGGAGCTAAGAACATTAAGAAGAGTCCTATGGGATCAGACCATAGACCCATCTGCTACTGGGGATGGGGGGACGGACAATACACAGGATATACTACTATCAGTCTTAGGCTCCACACACCTTAACCTGGGCCTGCAAGGAGCGAGGGGAAAGGATACCTGAGGCCTACTCCAAATTTCACCAAAGGGTAAAGCTTGGAGTGGGGAGGGCTAACATCTAAGCAATCCTGGTGATTTACAGGAACACAGGATAGTTGACACAATGAGTCAATTATCTTATCTCATAGAATCATAGAATTGTAGAGTTGGAAAGGACTATGAGGGTCATAAAGTCCAACCCCCCTGCAAATGCAGGGATGTTCCGCCCAACATGGGGCTTGAACTTACAACCCCAAGATTGAGAGTCTCATGCTCTACTAACTGAACTAGCCAACATGCCCATAATTTCTTTTATCATTTTTATCATGTATTTTAATATCTAGTGTTGTTCAACTAAACTTGTAGTCCTCAAATAAGATTCCAGCTTTGTATGACATACATTGCATAGAGTGGCTTATTTCTTATTTGAGCTATTTCTTCTCTCTCTCGCTCCCTCCCTTTCTGGCTCCAATGTGTTTGTCACTCAAAAGATGCTAACCAGCTCAGCCCCTTAAAGGCAGTGCTGAAAAGAAGAAAGCATTTTCAATGTTTCACCTTTACATGGTGCTAGGTTAAACTCAGGATGGTTAGAAACTCTTTGAAGCAACCCAAACCTAAATATTCCTGCTAGGCAGACTGAGCAGCGAAACTGAATTATAATGAACCAGCAGCTGTCACAATATGACCACAGTAACCAAATCAAAATATCAACCACTAACCCAGATGAGATTCAAAAGGTCAATGTAGAAAGCCAGAAGCTTTCTTCAAGATCGCCCGAAACCTCAATCTAATCCTAGCAGTGAAATGTTCCATTAAGCTACAGGGGGTAAAGAAACAAGTTACTGTATATTGGTAAATGATTTAATGTACTAGCAAGATAACCCAGGAAGGATAAGAGGAGCTCGCAAAGAAGGCACCTGAAAATTGAGCAGCAAATCTGGAATGACATGCATCCATAGCAATATATTCTGACTCCTATATAGTACTGAAATATGTGGACAGATTTCCACTGCCCCAAAAGTGCACTACTGATTTATTCTGTAAAAGAGAGTTTACTTGATTGGCTGGCGAGCCCGAGAGCTATGCTTCTACACAAAGAATTTGGGAAGTCAATCTTTTTTTGGCCATAAATAAATTTAGCTTTGCTAATTCCCCACAGCTAATTATTGCACGGCTTGAAGTGAAGGCTAATTTAAATACTTCTTGCATGGTTTCCAACTACTTTGAAAGCATTTAAAGCTGGAATTAATACCTAAAAGCAAGTGCTTGCAATGTAGGTCCACAGTTGCCACATTATTTCAACAAATATTCATGGTTCCTCTGCACATTTCCAGTAATGACTATGTTAAATTATGTCCAATTCCCCCCAATCCATCCCTCCAGTTCACGTAAAATTAAGACAACAGCTACTTTGCATAGGATGGCTATGCAAGTATTACTCTACAAATTCAACAGAATGGCTGCAATCTTCTCCCCACTGACCTGAGAGTAAGTGTGACTGAACTCAATAGGACTTGATTTTGAGGTGATGAACATAGGATTGTGCTGGAAGGCATGGGCTTGGTACTATGTCACATTAAACCAGGGGCTGTCCACACACATTTGCAAAGCAAAGAGGGGACCAGAGACACTGCAACCACACACACATGCACACAAAATCCACCATCAGCAATTGGGCTTATAAACCCCCTTCCATTAGCTACATTCTTTCTCACTTTGTACTCCTAGCTTTGAGGAAGATATCATGGCTTTTAAAATCAGTTTCCCGCCATGCTGGAACTGGGATACTGTGGTTCAAGTATATGTACATACCAAGCAAGACATGGTGCAGTGAAAAAGCACCGGTGGTGCTCATCTGGTGCTCCTGATGGTGTGTTTTGGGTTCAGGGTAAATGGCAAAATTGCCAACCTTCCTCTCTCTCCTGCTAAGCCATAGCGACTCCCCTGCCCAGGAAGGTAGCTCCAACCTACCCAACAAGTCACTTCTGCTTTTAAGGTGTCTCTTCAACAGATCTGTGTGAATCCTTGTTCCCATAATTACTATCATTTTATACCTCCTCCTCTTCCCTTTTTAAAATGATAAAACTAAACAAGCCCAACATGTGTAAGACACAACCACCTTTAAAACTGTAATGCATGAGGAGTTTTTTTTAAAAAATGGGGAGGGGGAGATTTCCCTGATCAAACAATTATTTCTGGGTTGTCTCTGAAAGTCGTCTTTCTATCAGCTGGTTTTGCACTTCCCATTCCCTGCCGCCATCTCGTAGACAGTTTTGTTACATTCAGGTAAACTGTCTAGCCTGCAACACAGCCGCGCTCAGTTCCAAATCTGCTCAAGGTGGAAAATGTAGCGTTCCATAAACACCAAAATACCATGTTTCAGACCAGACTGCTTATCTGACAGAACAGCACTTTCATTAATGCCAGGTGCACAGATAGAGCAGTGTTCACTGTTACAGTAAGTAAGATGGCCTTGTCTCCCACATTTATACTTTTCAGCCTTCCTTTCATTATAGGGAAAGGCCAGCTCAGGAAGAGGTTTCTTTCAACAGAAGGTTTTCTGAGCATGATTACTGTTTCGGATTTGCTAGCACTGCAAAATAGGGGCAGAATCTACTCCACTCAGGTGAGCGTGCATTAGAGCAGGGGCAGTTAACTACAACTCCCATAATCCCTGACCACTGACCATGCTGGCTGAGGATAATGGGAGTCATAGTCTAGCCACATCTGGAGTGCCCCAGGTTGGCTACCCCTGCAGCAGACCCACCTATTCTTAACATTTCTCACAAGCAAATGAATGTATGTTTTATTTCAATGGCACAAGAGGAGCAGACATTTCTCTTGTGAGATCTCTCTATATCCTTTCCCCCTCTGCACACCTTCTGCAGTCTGGGTTCAGGGTAAATGGCAAAATTCAATAAAAGGGGTGGAACTGTTTAGCCTGAACAGACACAAATGAAAAGGGAACCATTCTAATTACAAAAGTACAATTTTAAATTAAGGTAACATAACACTGAGCAAGGTCACTGGTTCGAACGGTAGGCATGCCTTAGTACATCATACCACACTTGTTAGAAGCTGTTAGCTCCCCTCATAAGCATACTCAAGCACACAGAAGACCAGTATCCTTGGGTCTAAAAATGCGCCAGAACGCATAGAAATGTCTGGAACGTGCAGATACAGAACACACACTGGCCATTTGAAGCCAAGCAATCCCGATAGTGCTGATGAGCAACAACAAAGGACCCTTTGCATCAAATACAAAAGGGCAATTATTTGTTTAGGTTTGAAAAATCAAGCTCCTAACAGCTCTTCAATAAATGAGTGTGCTGTCTTTCCAACAATTCTCATCAGAATATGTTCGCTTTTATGCTTTAGAATGTGCTTGTAAAAGTCTTTTCCCGGAGAAAAGCGAATACTCGCGGTTAAAACAAAGGGACGCACAATTTTCTTGGCAAAAACTGAAACACAACACGATTTACAGGCTAAAGTGTTCTTTGTTGAGGGAAGCCAAAACAAAGTGAGACAAGAGAAACAAACTTTTCAGTTGCAAAAGAAGAAGAAGAAGAAGCACAACCTTCAAAGTGAAAAGGTCAAACCTTAAAGCATCACTCAGCACAGTGGGTTTCACAGAAGACCATGAATACAATGTAAAGATTGTATTTACACTGCCTGCAGTCAAACCTAATAGTGTGAGTTAAGAAGGGAGGGTCAGAATTTCCTTGCTTTTGTTGGCTCACGCCAACCCCTTGGAGCTGCTGTAACTACGTTGCATGTGTGTGACTAACATATACATTACTGCAAGCTTCAACGCTGTCTCACATGTTAAACAACTCACAAATATTTCCTAATAATGAAAGGCAAGGGATATTTCAGGGGCATATATTGGTCCCAGAATGATATATCGCAGTTACAACTCAGTGCTTTCCTTGGCTCAAGTTCAGTTGTTTGAAACTAAGGCATCTCAGTTAGTTCATTGACAAGTGGAAGGAGAACGGTGGGATCTTGGCCAGGGAAAAAGGATTACTAATATTTTTACATCATATATTTATCTTAACACAACTCATTTATCACATGTGATTAAAGGAAGGCTGCTATCTGCACTTGCAAGTAATTAAAGACTTTCTTCTGACAGCCAAAATTATGGCTGTAGATTCAGAAAGAGATCCTTGCAAGTCAGAATGATAGTGGCTGAGCATTATCCAACTGTGAGGGCACACACTTGCCAAATACCACAGGCTGTCAGAAGAGGAGCATGCTGCAGGCATGGTCAGCCTTAATGTAGAAATTTACAGCCCAGAGACTACAAGTCCCTGCAGGCAACTTCACACTGTTATCCAAAGAAAACAACGTTTTCAGATAGCTTAACCTCCAATTGTTTTTTCATTGAGACAACTAACCACTGCGTACTTTTTTTTGTTTGTTTTGCAATTCCAACTAACCACTGCGTACTTTTTTTGTTTTGTTTTGCAATTCCAATAATTTGCTGAAAAGTACGTAATATGTAAGCTAGTACACCACGCAACTGAAAATGCTTATAAAACGTATACACTGTTTCTACATTGTGGACATTGCAGGGTACCTTACCAAGGCATTTAATTGGCACTGCTGGGAATGGTTTATGGAAAACATTTGGTAACTACCACAATCAAACACAAACTTACTGGGAACACAAATTTCAAACACTGTAAAAATAGAGAACTCTTCTATTTACACACACACACACACACACACACACACACACATACTTATAAACACAAAGGCGTAATACAAATTTTGATAAGTCTTTTTCTTACTCTGTATTCTGGAATTCACAAAAGGAGGAGATAGATTGTCATGTGATCCAAGGTCCCTGTTTGTCATATGTTCATAAGGAGTTCCATCTCCATAGTTCTGTTAATAAATTGGAAACAAATACAGTTTAAGTGTAACATACATATTCCAATCTCTTAGAGACATTTCCCCCCGTACATTACGACTAGAAAAGCACAATTGCTTTTCCAATGAAACTGATGACATTTGCAGATAATTATTCTGTCAGCAATACATTAAAATTTTGTGTCCATACCTTTGCTAATTCCTAGGCTACAAGCCAGTAAAAATGTTGTTATCATTTTCAAATCTGTGGCAAGGATTGAATTATGTTGTGTTGCAGTCCCAAAGAATGAGAACTTCTACAAGTTAATGTTGCATATTTTATTTAAGGAAAGATAAACTTTCAAGTTACTCTATTCCAGGCACTTCAGACTGCAACACTGGCTGGACTGAAATTAACTTGTTCCTCCTGGCTATTTTATAAT